ATATATTCACATACCTACCTGTGTATGAATTTCTGTTTGTGTGTGTGTTTGAGTGTGAGTGAATATGTCCATATGTGGGTGTATGAGTATTTGTGTGGGTAATTTCCCTCTCCTCCAATGTTATTCTCTCCCCCTCTCCTGAAGATATTGACTTGAAGGATATAGAGTTTATCTTGAACTTCAACCAAGCCTCATTTGCGATCTGTGAGTCTAGACAGTGATCGCCAGGAGCAACATAACCAGGAGAGGCATCACAGCCAAGTCTAACCCTCTCGTCATCTGACCTTTACACATTCCCCTCCCTAGCCCATAGGCGCTGAGTTAATGGTTGCCCCCCAGCTGAGATCAGATAACACAACATAGACACTATAGTACATTCATGCTGGGAATTTCCGAGTTTGTGCAGGTGACAATTTTCCTTCTTTCGATTCTTTCAAAAAAGCTAAGAAAAAAAAGAGAGGGATAACAACAGACCCATCAAATACACCTCTTTGACTGGGAGTTTTGGGAAGTTTCATTGCCAGCAAAGGGCAGACCAGGTACTTTCCTTACACTGTTTACAGTAACCAAATGATTTTCCCTTTAGGTATCAAATTTCCTGTGTCCACATTTTGGGAATTGACTAGGTCTGGTTTCAGTGGAATACAGGTTTCACCATATTTTTTGATTAGGATAGTGTGAATACTAATCAAAAGAAATGTAACTGGGGATGGAAAGGGAGGTTAAAATCCACACACATGCACATACAGCAAGCTGTGTTGGAGAGAGAGCAAGTTTGCCTTTTCTTCAAGGAGAAAAAAAGAAAGAATAAGAGAGATCTACTTGCGTTTGAGACTGTCTGTATTTTCGAAGAAACTTGGATGTGTGACATTCCGAAACTACATTCCAAACAATTGGCAAACTTGTGCATAATTACTTTTCTTTATCTTTTAATTGATTTTTTTGCACACTAGTCTGCACACATTAATGCCAGCCATTTATTCTGCAGAATTAAAGAATTATAATTGGAAAATATTATGGCCTAAGAGATTATTGTTATTTTGTCTCATAAGGAAGAAATTGTAAAGCCACGAATTCTGATTTTTCTGTTGTTTGATCCAGGCAGTCTGAGTTTATCGTTGGATCTACAAGAAGTCAGCCCATGCCATGGGTGTGGAGAGAAGGTAGTTTTGAGTGAAGCTAAATGAGCTAGTCCCCTGAAGTGTAAACAGCTACTGAGGCATTCGATAGACTTAAATCACACTAAAAATCGTGACAGTCTGTAATACTTAGTTTCACTTTAGGCAGCTGCTTTACTGATTGCCCTATTATGGGATTTCTTAGTCTGCAGGTTAGACTAGCAAGATATGTTCAAGCTTTCAGTCTGAATCTTTTTTGTGGAATCAAGATCAAAAGCATCAAAAATTGAGTTAATACATGCCCTGTTATACCGACTGTATGGGAAAGTTTGGAAAATGGAAATCGCATAACAACGTTGATTATTCTTTTTCCATTGTCCTGGTCTCAACCATCCTTCCTGGCAACTTCACAGCTGTTTGTGGGACACTGCAATGCCCAAATTGCCCACAAAACACACAGTAACTGGACTTTACAATATATCCCGTGAAACGATTTGGGACTTCCCTCCGATGAGAAAAATGCCATATAAATATAAGGATTATTGTCATTATTATTTACATAAACTTCAACTGATCCAAAACTCCACTGTCTGTATTCTCAACTCGCACTAAACTCCACATGTCCATCACCCCAGTCCTTGACAGGCTCCAAAATGGTCTTCAACAGTCTTTGAGGTCATAAATTTTATCAAGTTTTTTTAAACAGATCCCACAATTTCAGTCAGAGACTGGATTAGGGATTAGCTGGTATTAGGAAATACTACATTTTCAACCCCATTATCTACAAATGCGTTGTTTTCAGCCATAAAAATAATTCAACAAGACTACAGATGAACTTGATGGAAGAGCTGTATGTACAAACACAATATAACATGAAGTGCTGTGGCATGTAGCACATATCACCTGAAAACCTAGCAGTTGTGTTGCCGTGATTGAGTCATTGTTAATTCCACAAGTTAGGTGCAGATTGTTTCTTTGGCCAATTCGTCATGTATTCACCACAGGTTCGGTGAGCAAGAAAATTAGAATGTTAAAAAATGCAAGACTTACTTCAAGTTGAAGTAAATCGATTTGCAGTCTGTGGTTCCGACCACAAATCTGACATTTCCCCCTTGTCAAACTTATATTGAATTAAATGTGAAAAATGATTTGTGCAGGTGGAAACATCATTAAATGTTATTTTTTATATATCTGCACAAACATCTGACCTCTTTTCATCCCTTATTTCCAACTCTGGCCTCTCTGTACATACCTGCGAGCTCTGTTTCTCACATTTTGAATGTCTTTGGGATGATGATTGTCAAATAACTTTAGGTGAATGTTAAATCAGTTGTGTATCAGAAAAGGAAGGAAGGGCTAGGGATTAACCTGATTCTGACTGTCCAGAGTCATGGGACGTCCTCCTGACGTGAAAGAAGCTACACAAATGTAATTTGTTGTTGTTGATTCTGGCTAGGATTCCATGGTACCTGGCACCATGGAATGCTGGCACTCAATGGTGCCATGGAGAGGAATCATTTAAAGTTAAAGCTTTTTGTAAAAACTAAAAGGCAAATATCACATACAGGAAGAACGTGAAAAAAGTAGAAAAGGGGGTTCAGATTCAGATGAGACTGAGGGAGAATTGCAGCCAGAATAGAGGGAGTGAACAGACATACAGTTGCAAGGATGGATGGAAGAGAAGCACATTGGTTTGGAAAAAAATAGATTCCATTTCATAAAAATGATTCTCCTTTATCCAATTCGCCCACGAAATACACAGTCAATCCACTTTATAACATAATCTGTGAAGTGCTTTGAGACGTCTCAACGATGCAATAAGGTGCTATATCAAACACAAGGATTATTATTATTTGGGAAAACTATGCAAAACTTGAAATAATACACTATCCATGAATCACCTTTGACTGCCAGGATTGTGAATTAGACAATTATAACTTTAAATGATACCTCTCAATAGCATAATTGGGGAGAAACTTCATCTGGTCTCAGATTAACTGTTTTAAACATTTCGTAGCATCCAGAATTTGTCAAATTCTTAAACGTGGCTTTAAATTTGAAGCTGGTTTTCTGTAAGTTCTTTTTAAGAATTAAGATTTCAAAGTTAAGACTAAAGTAAATTTGGACCCAGATGAAATTTCTCCCGGTATGTAATTAGCATTGGAGTAAACTTTTGCGTGTATGTAATGGCATTCATATAAAATAATGAGAAGATAAAAATAAAATTATAAAATTAAACAAACCAGGATAAACAGATATGGGAAAAGGAATGCAGATGCCTTGCTAACAGCTCTCTCAGATCTGAAGATTGCATCAATCTCAGTATGCAATACTGAACTACAGTTGCCTCAGTCATATCAAAACATTCCATAAGTGCCTGGGTGTTGTTAAGTCATGTCGTTGCTCATCGCCAAGGTGTGTGGGATTTTATCCAATTAAGCAATATTGTACAAAATTTCCCACAATAACCTAGAGGTGTTAGATGCACATCAGTTCTGATTTATACTATTTGGGTGTTCTAATCTTGGAGTAAAAACGTTAGTGCTTTTACCGCATATAATGAGTTGTAATCTAAACCTTACTCTTCTGACTAATGTCTTTTATTTATCAAAAACAAAACACTACATGCGTTAGGAGCAAATGTGAGATTACAATGTACTGATCAACATATCTTGAGTGTCTGGGAGATACTTTCACAGGCAGGGGATGCAACGTATAAAACTGTTCCAGTTATAATACTGACAATGTTGGAGAGAGCAGGATGTGGTATCCTCATTAAGTACACTGATCTGCTTGGCTTTGGCACTACTGAGTCCAAGGGCAAGATATGTGTTCCTTTTGAATCCTGCCACATAATGTTACCTGTCAACTCAATTTCTTAAATGCCCTCCTTGCCAGTCTCCCTAATTCTACCATTCACAAGTTCGACCCTGCTGCTCATTCTCTCCAAACTCCGCACAACCATTACCATCATCCTCGCCAAGCTCCACTGCTCCAATTTTGCCAGTCTCCCAATGGGTTGATTATGAGGTCTTACCGTCACCTATCAATCCTTTCGCACCTCTGAACCTCTGTATCTCTGTAATCTTATCCTTCCTCACTCCTCTGCTCATCCCCTCTGAGGTTATGAGTTGTGCTCCCCCACACCCCCCCCCCTCCCCTTTCTGTAACTCCCTGTCTATTTACCCCTCCATCTCACCTCATGTGGCCTTCACACATCTGTAATACAACTGCAGTCTGACTGCAACCAGTGGAAAGGCAACTATTAATCTTGAATGATTCAGTCAGAAAGGTCAAGCTTGAAGGATTTAAGTCAAGCTGTCCAGTGAAGCATGCATCCATTTTTTTTAAGACTGCCAATATTCCATCAGCTAATAGTAATATAATAATGGTAATTGATATGAGTAAGAGGAGTTCTGCTTCACTTGTGTTGAGCCCAGAGTGAGAGCAATGTAAAGGTTGCAATTTAATTCTGCATGCCAACTCACACCCACACTCACACTCCAGCTATAGGTATAATGTCAAATCAGTGCCTGTAATATAATTGACCCATAATATTACCCAGTGTTTTCTTAATGCTGTGTATTGTGAGACATTTTCATAATATTCTATTTCTCTAATTGCGCTCACAGTACAGGGGAAGATTTACCGAAACCACTTTCAACCACAAAATTACCGCCCAGACGTGGTCTGAGTCACTAGGTTGTTGACTAACAAATCAGCTCTCTATAAAGATAGGGATATTGAGGCTTCTGCATCTCAGTTTCGATAGTCAAAATAAAGATGAAGCATCTTTATCTCACTCTCCCATTAATACTTGGCTTCTTCACCTTTTCAACAGTTCTACCTCTTCCCAGTGAAACAAACGGTGAAGTTGACATGATTTTTGCTCAGGTATGTGAAGTCCTTAAACTATTTGGTTAAAATATATTAGAGATAATATCGCTGTCAGTTACCTAAACAAAATTATAGTTACACTGAATGATTGTTAATTTTAATGCCAAACTTTTGTATATTTTTCTACTTTTGCTTTTTCCAGTGTTCTTGGTGAAAAAGTGAGTACTTATGTCTGAAGCTACAGAATTATGGTTGCTGAGCCTGACAGGGTGCTTCATATTTCACTCTGCATGTTATTTTAGCACCATCACATTGCCAAAGTCACTTAAATCAGGTGTCAGCCTGGTTCATTCTCATTTCTGAGTCAGAAAGTTGTGGGTCCAAGCCCCACATTGGAACTTTGAACTGACGTTCCACCATAGTGCTGGGGAATGCTTCACTGTCAGAGGTGCCATATTTTCTATTTAAAATAATGAAAGGAATTAACAGCTTAGATAGTGCATTCTTCCCTTTGGTACATTGATTTTAATAAAATCAACATCTAAGACAGACCTGAGATCAGAAAGCATTTCTTTACGCAGAGGGCTTTGAAGATGTAGAATGCTCTGCCCCAGAAAGTGGTTGAGTTGGAGTCATGGGGCTGTTTAAAAGAAACACAAGTATTTGGATAACAATAATAATAATTACTGCATTTGATATAGCACCTTATCACGTTATCGACATGTCTCACAATGCTTCAAAGGATATAATGTCAAGTGGATTGACTGTATATTTTGAGGTGAAATGTGGCAGGCAGTTTGCACACAGCAATGTCCCACAAACAGCCATGGAGTGAGTGGCCAATTTTATTTGGGGGATTGTTGAACAGGACACGGGGAGAAACTCCCATTCTCTTTTTGAATAGGCATGGGATCTTTAACATCTATCCCAACAGGCAGACAGGACCTTAGTTTAATGTCTCATCTGAAGGACGACACCTCCGACAATGCAACAACCACTGCATTGGATTGAAAAAATTGCCAAGATCTAATAAATCCATGGAACAGGCAATAATGTCTTATTGACTTCCCATTCCTGTTTCCCTCTGTTCCCAAATCAGTAGCATCGATTCCATCAAGCTACATTTTCAGAATAGAAATAAATTAATGGATTGTTTGTGAAATGTTTATTCCAACTCCTAAATAGTGTATATGTTCTTAAGTGGGAAACTGAGCACAGGGTAAGACCATCAGATCGACCCTTTAATTGAATGCCCACGGTCAGGTGCATTATTTATGCTGGGAAGATGTTCCTCAACTTCAGGGGAAGAGTTGTATTTGATAAGGAATTTTTATTTGGATCACTTAATTCCCGAATCTAACTCCTGACCACTCATCATTGGACTATGCCATTCACATATTAGTTGAGGTTGTTAGTGCTGGGCCAGACATTAGGTTAGTTATATTCCAATGACAAATAGTACTCACACTATTGCCTTCTTAAGGTTTTGATTAGTTGTGTAGACAGAACTGAGAAAGCTGTTAGTAAGGCATCTTCATTCCTCTTCCTATATCTGTTTATCCTGTTTAATTTTAGGGTTAGTTTATTGTAAAACATAACAGAAGTGGTTTTGTTTGATAACACTAAATTAAATTAAAATAGCTCATTTGTATCAGAATACAATGGTTGCAGTGTTTGTAGCCTGTAGGTTTGAAGTGGGCAATTACTTTTCAGTTTTCAGCATGATGATCTAGAGGCCTAGACACAAAATTCAATTTAAATCTATGTATAGAATTTCACTACAGATTATATGACGCTAGCTTAGTTTTTCAGGTTTATAAAAAAGCTCTTGGTACAAAGATTCTGTGGTACAAAGAAGCTTTAGAACTCTCTCCTCCAGCCAGGCCGCTTCCTTCCCCTGTTTTTTAATTAACAACTGAAGACCTTCCTCTTCGACCATGATTATGGTTACCTCCTCTCTCCCCCCGGCTCAGTGTCAGTCTCCACCAGTGTTACACGCTCCGAGGCGCTGCTCCACATGAAGGGCGCTAAATAAATGCAAGTTGTTGTTTTATAAGGAGTTCACTGTTTATGCATTAAAATTTAAGATATTTAGTTGAGGTACCTATTTTCCATGCAAAAGGCATTACAAGACAGTTACTGAAAACATCCTTAACATGTATGCATTTTATACCGTTTAAAATTTGCATGGTGGTCGGATCAAAAAATCAGCGACTGGACATTCTCCCAACGTCAAAGGCACTTTACAAATGTAATTTTGTATTGTAAAATGACCAGAAATTCAGAAAAATGCAAATTCTTTCACGTGAAACGAAACTTTACTTTTGCATTTAGAATTACCTCAAAAACTTCTACAACTTCTCCACGAATGTCAGGGGCAGAAGCGGCAGCCAATTTGATATGAAGATTAGAGAATTGCAAACATTCTTTCATCTTGATGTGACTGGAATTCTGAACAAAGATACAATGGAAGAAATGAAGAAACCTCGTTGTGGAGTATCTGATATTGGGGAGTATAGTGTCTTCCGAGGCAGACCAAAATGGAACAAAAACGATATCAAATACAGGTATGGCCCCTGGTTATGAGACATAACAACAAAAGCAGCAACAACTTGCACTTATATAGCACCCCTCATGCAGGGTAGGGTCCCAGAGCACTTGTCACTTATTGAATATCATATACAATCTAAACAACAACTTAAATAAATGTTTTCATCTCTATACAGCATAGAGAATTATACACCAGATATGAAGAGGAGTGATGTGGACATTATTCTACAGAGAGCTTTGAAACTGTGGAGTGATGTTACACCACTGAGATTTACAAGATCAAGTTCAAGCCAGGCAGACATTAAGATTTCTTTCTCTTCCAGAGGTATGTCATTCACAAAGTAATTTTCTGTTATTACTACTGTCTATACTATCATATGCTAGGTTGCCATTTATTGATTAATATGTATGTACATTTCCCGTTAGATCACGGAGACGGACATCCATTTGATGGACCTACTGGGATATTAGCACATGCCTTTTCTCCATCATCGGGACTTGGAGGTGACACTCACTTTGATTTAGATGAAAGATGGACGAAAGATTCCAGGGGTACATAGTTTTCTATTACTAATTATAAAGTTATTTACAGTTCTTGTATTTACACAGGTTTGATCACAACCCTAAACGCAGTTACTGTTCTTCAGTACTGTTACTGTTTGACGCATTGCACATTACACAATGTGGATAGAGCAATGTAGTGTGATAAATCAGAGTATATTTCTGATTGGTTTGCTCATTGACTCTAACAGCTAACTCTGGTAAGAGGTAACTGTCTTTGTATTGTTTGTTGTATATTGTCTGCTGAAGCTTTGATCAGATGCTCATAGCCTTTTGAATCTCTTCAGTTTGATTGTCATTTGCATGTTTTTCCTGATCACATTTTTCTACATTGCTTTTGTAGATTTCAACTTGTTCCTTGTGGCGGGTCATGAATTTGGCCATGCTCTGGGACTCGATCACTCAAATGACAGAAAGGCTTTGATGTTTCCCACCTATTTGTATGTGAACACAAATGGATACAAGCTTCCAGCTGATGATGTTAGAGGGATCCAATCTATATATGGTAAATCTATACTCTAAACAAAACACATGTTATGTGGTATTTATATAAATTAACTTATATAAATTTATTTAGACAGTACAGCACAGAAACTGGTCATTCAGCCCAACTAGTCCGTGTCAGTGTTTTTACTCTCTAAGTCTCCACCCACTCCTTATTCCCTCCCATACCTTTCTATTTCCTCAGTTCCTGAAGAGGGCAGACCAGCCATTTTGATTTGGGAGAGGGGCAAGAGTTGGGCCACATTTTGGGGCTGTTCAGAGGATTGGCTGTGGTCCTCCTCAGGGCTCAGGACGTTCCTTCAGAAAGAGATGAGCTGCAGATAAATGGGGGGGGGGGGGTGATGCCCCGTATAGCCCTAGCCATCCACTGTCTAGGGCCAGGATCGATGAAGTTACCGGTAAGTAGAGAATACCCCCCACTGTCAGTGACAATTGAAATTGTTGCACGACAAATTTCTATACTCACTGGCAAATCATCATTGTGTTGATCCCATGATTTTATATTTATTTTCATGTTGCTTTGAACTCAGGACCTCCAACTTCTGCTCCAGTGCCAAAACCACCCATCACACCAAGGCCACCTAAATGCAATCCAAAACTGTCCATTGATGCTGCCACTAAACTAAAAGGAGATACTTTGTTTTTCAAAGATATGTAAGTATTGGGTTTTTACATTATGTTTGGGTGTTTGTGGGATATTGCAATGCGCAAATTGGCTAGCACTACAAATGCACAATCACTACACTATGCATTAGAAATCCTGTGAAGTGCTTCAAAGTGTTTGGATAATGTAATAAAGCATTATATCAAATGTGAGGATTATTATTCTTAATATTAACAAGGCTTTAGTGCACTGTTGGTGCAGCCGAGGTTTGTTATTAATCATTTCATTACCATTGATGTCTGGATTGATTTAAGCGCCTCTGAAAGTTGTAATGTGATTAGACATGAGCTCATCATCAGGCTAGAATTCCCAGCATCCACATAGAGATGAAAGTCAAGACAATCTTAGCAATTTTTGTATGATGTTAAATGTTTTAATATTCAACAGAAACATTAACTGTGAACCGTTTTTTTTCAGATCTTATGTCAGGAAGAATTCAAGGACTTCGAAAGTGGTGACAGGATTTATCAAATCCACATGGCCAACTGTCCCATCAAGTATTGATGCAGCTTTTGAATTTTCGCAGGGATATGCTTTGCTTTTCAAAGGTATTACATTTCACTTCTTATATATTTATTTAGAATAATAAGTAAAAATCTATTGTCTTCAACACATGAACATCACCGCACCAAATGTATTCCTACTTGATAATATTGAAACAAAAATCCGTAAGAATGTTAATGTTTTCCAAATGAACATATACATGCTATGGAACAATGGCAGACCAAAGTATATGGATTTGGGGGGAAAGGAATGACTGGGCTGATTTATTTACTCTCCCGATGAAGAAACAATTCAACCTGTACATCAGCTGCTGACGCCTATAGATTCATATTTTATTCTTCTGCTTTTATTTTATCTTGATTTTTCTTGCTCTACGGTTGTGTCTCTGGGTCTGAACAGCATCAACAACAATAAATTACATTTGCATAGCGCCTTTCACTTTGGGAGGATGCCCCAAAGCCAATTTTTATCATACACAAAAGGTCCGCGGTATACTTCTAGCGAGGCACAATAGTGGGCTTTGCTTTGCATGCATGCAAGTGTCCAGAAAAAACGCCGTAAAGTTCCTGCACAGTAAGCCAAACTTTCCGATCATTAGGTCATTGCCTATGCCTCTGCCTACTTTGAGCACAAGGAGCAAAGTGGAAAGTGACTTCAATGGAGACAAACTAGGAAATCGGGCATTTTAACACAAAAGGCTGACTGATGCAGAGGAATCAAGTGGGTTGGTTGCACACATACATAATGAATGCACTTTGGGACGTCCTCCCGACGTGAAAGGCGCTCTATAAATGTAATTTTGTTGTTGTTGTTGAATGGGGCCACAATACAAATGTGTTAAAAGTGAATTTGAGCTGTGGTGAATTGCTCCACAGTGGGGGCTGAACTGTAATTGATTGCACCACATGGATGTCCATCAATGAACAGCCATTCTGTGATTGTTTCTCGAACAATCACCTTCAGTGAATGACCTTACCACACAACACACAGCATCACTGAAACAAACAAGACGTCTGCTTATATCCAATGGGGTTTACTGTGGAACCAACAAAGCTGCGATTGTGAATGAATGAGAAATTCGGGTCGAGCAAGGTGTTCAAGGACCTTGCAGGGAATAGAATACAATAAACTGTCTGCATTAAATATGACTGCTATAAACTGCTTAGCACTAATTTGAAGGGTATGAAGCCATAAGCAGCTACAGTAGTAAAGTATTTCATTTTGTAGTAGTTGTGGCATATGCTTCAGGGAATATTTTTGCATTATGAAAGAATCGCACTGCTCATTGTTGTTTCGAGGTCAGACTGGGCCACTGTCAAGCACTCTGGGACGGTAGTCCGTATCAAGGGCGCTAAACAAATACAAGTTGTTGTTGATAGTGATTAGTCCCAAATGTTGTTAGAATGAAAGAAGGCCACAAGCCAGTTTGTCAACAAGAGGACCATTGATTGGAGTGTGTCAATCTCTGGTTGTTATAGAGTATTACAAGGTCTTTTACTGTCTATGCTCCTGACCTTTCTAACGGCTATCAATGATTTCCTTGGGAGCCTATTTCGTGAAACTTTCTTGCCATCTTGATTGTGAATAAATGTGAATATGAATGAATGTAAATGTTGTTCTTGATGCAGGATCGAAATACTGGGCAATCAGTGGCAACTCTGTACTCCGCGGTTTTCCTAGGAGTATTTCTGACTTCAACATTCCACAAAATGTTCGTAAAATAGATGCTGCAGTTCGCATTTCAGCAAAAAGAAAAATTCTGTTTTTTGTGGGAAATAGATACTGGAGGTATGTTTTTTTTTGTCTCGTTACTTCTTTCATTTTTGGTTGCCGTTATCCTTGTGCAGGCACATTCCAATCATTTAACTGATTGCTGCGTACTTTCTGTTTAGTTATGATGAATGTAGAAGGCAAATGGACCCTGGGTATCCAAGACTGATAGCTGGTGACTTTAAAGGTTTCAGAAGTAAAGTGGATGCAGTTTTCCACAATGATGGTGAGTGCCAATTTGATAGCAAATATAATTATATATTCAAAACAACAGGATAAACTGAAAGAATAATTCAATGTGAACAACTTGGATAAGACAGACCCAAAGGACTTTAAATAATATATTTATTGCTAACCCAAAGTTTGAAATCAACAACAAATAATAATCCTTGCATTTGATACAGCCCCAGATTAAGAAAGTATCCATGTTTTTAGCCAATAACTTTTCTCTTATTTATTTTACCAGGTTTGCTTTACGTGTCTAGTGGGTCGGTTCTGTATGAGTACTGGTACTTTCAGTGGTACAGGAAACCTACTGGATTACTCATTCGCAAATTGACGCCAGCCAAATGGATGAATTGTTAAATGATTCAAGTATCTCACTGCACCATCTCCTCTGACAATATAATTTGGAAAAGAATGAAATGCAGTCTTGGAAATTAAGCAAAATTGACGTTGGTTGCTTGGATTCAAACAAAATCTATGTTTATTTAATCATTTGTTTTGAAAGTATTATGTTAAATGTTGAGTTCAACTATCTGTAACTGTTGCATTTTAATATGGATGTATTCAATCATTGTTTTAATGGTCCAGCATATTAGACACCTTCTATTCTGACATAACATGCCTACCATAATATTAACAAGGTGCCTGACCATTTTTTGAACATTTTTTAATGACATTTTTCTCGTTATTATTTAAATTTGTATAATACACGTTATGCATTATGTATGACTGATTCATGTTTTGACTGTATTGTAAAGTATATTCGTTTCATAAAGTGTATTTATATCATAAAAGTAAAAAAAGCATCAAGTGCATACAGACTATGGATGTCATTGTAATTTGTATTGATCCTAAATTATTATCAAAATAACAATTCTAATTTTAATATTAATCATTATAATAATAATTCTTGCATTTCATGTCGGGACAATGTCTCAAATTGCTTCACAGGATATACTATAAAATGCAGTGACTGTATACTTTTGTGGGTGAATATGATAGTGAATTTGGAGTTCTGTAGCTTCATGGTTAGAGCACAAGACTTGCAAGCGAAAGGACCTGGGTTTGATTCCTGGCAGAATGAAATGTTGGGCAAGTTTCTCTATTCTACACGCCTCTCTTTACCTAGCAGTAAGTAGGAACTTGGTTGTTAGTTGATGGGCGGATCTCTTTTTCCTTCAACTTTTTAAAAATAATAATTTGGTCACTTCAATCCACAACTGTTTGTGGGATGCTGCTGGGCGCAATTGGCTGTTGTTTCGCCCACAAAAATATACAGTCAATTCTCTCTACAGTATAATCTGTGAAGCGCTTTGAGACGTCTCAAAGACGTAATAGGGTGCTATATCAAAATCAAGGATTATTATTAATATTATTATAATTTGCACACAGAAACATCCCTCAAATAACCGTGAAGAGAATGATCAATTTCATGTGGGGATTTATTTTTATTCAGGTGGTTGTCTGACACTATTGCTATTGACCTGTGCAAAGGCCCTATGACACGTGTGAGAGGAGAGCATCACACTGAACTATTTGCAGCAATTGGGAGGTGCTGAAGAAGATGGAGGCTTTTGATACTAATTGAACTGTTTTAAAAGTATCTGAATCACAAAAGGGCACTACCACAAGATTACAAATCCCCAGCCAAAACCAGCCAAAGTGGCATTATTCAACTGAGAGGCCAGCCAGCAGCCAAAGTGATACGCTGCAAGTGTGTCTGTATATGTATATAAGGTATACTTTCCGTGTCTATATACGATACACTGTGTGTGTTTCTGTGTGAGGTACACACACATATTTCTGTAATGATTTGGGTGTCAGGTTGACTCAATCGATAGCACTCTCACCTCTCAATCAGAAGGTTATGGGTTCAAGCCTCTTGTTGGGAGTTGGAACTCATATCGTCTTCTGAAACTCCAATGCAGACTGGAGATGTGCTGCAGTGTTGGAGGTGCTGTCATTTGGATGAAATATTGAACTGATTCCCTGTCTGTTTGTTCAGCTGGATGTTAGTGATCCCATGGCACTATTCGAAAAGAGAAGGGAGTTTCTCCCCATGTCCTGGCCAACAATCCCTGAATAAAATTGACTCCATGGCTGTTTGTGGGTGATTGCTGTACGCAACTGGCTGCTACGACTACACAACCAGTGCCTTGGGACAACCTCCCAAGGTGAAAGGCACTGTACAAATGTAATTTGTTGTTGCTGTGTTTGCCTACAAAACACAGTCACTCCATCTTCCAATATAACCTGTGAAACAATTTGTAACGTCCTGTTAATGTGCAAGGATTATTATTATTAAGATACACTGTAAGACATAATCTGTGTGCCCGTGTGTGTGTGTGTGTGTGTGAGATACATTGTGCATGTGCGATACACATACATTTCTGAAATGATTATGAAAGAATAACGGTGGATGTTACAAAACCTGGGTGGTTATTTTGACATAATGAGGTTTTGACTGAGGAACAATAGAGCTGGCAATCTTTACTAGATCATCTATCAAAAAGAAGAAAGTGGTTTGATAACATTATTTTCAATTCTCATGTTATTTAAATGTATATGTTATCAAATTTCAGGGTGTCCTATCAATATTTCAACCCATTCTTGTGCAGGCACATTCCAATCATTTAACTGATTGCTGTGTGCTTTCTGTTTAGTTATGATGAACGTAGAAGGCAAATGGACCCTGGGTATCCAAGACTGATAGCTGGTGACTTTAAAGGTTTCAGAAGTAAAGTGGATGCAATTTTCCACAATGATGGTGAGTGCTGATTTGGTAGCAACTATAATTATATATTCAATACAACAGGATAAACTGAAAGAATAATTCAATGTGAACAGCTTGGATAAGACAGACCTAAAGGACTTTAAATAGTATATTTATCGCTAACCCAAAGTTTGAAATCAATAACAAATAATAATCCTTGCATTTGATACAGCCCCAGATAAAGAAAATATGCATGTTTTTAGCTAACAGCTTTTCTCTTATTTATTTTACCAGCTTTGCTTTACGTGTGAGTGAGTCAGTTCTGTATGAGTTCTGGTACTTTCAGTAGTACAGGAAACCTGTATACTTGTTCCTGTATACAGGTTTCCTGTATACCAGGATACTTGTTCGCAAATTGACGCCAGCCAAATGGATGAATTGTTAAATGATTCAAGTATCTCACTGCACCATCTCCTCTGACAATATCATTTGGAAAGGAATGAAATGCAGTCTTGGAAATTAAGCAAAATTGACATTGGTTGCTTGGATTCAAACAAAATCTATGTTTATTTAATCATTTGTTTTGAAAGTATTATGTTAAATGTTGAGTTCAACTATTTGTAACTGTTGAATTTTAATAAGGATATATTCAATCATTGTTTTAATGGTCCAGCATATTAGACACCTTCTATTCTGACATAATAAGCCCACCATAATATTAACAAGGTGCCTGACCATTTTTTGAACATTTTTAATGACATTTTTCTCGTTATTATTTAAATTTGTACAATACACATTATGCAAGTACTGTATGACTAATTCATGTTTTGTTATGTGTATTTGTGTCATAAAGTATTGTTATGTGTATTTGTGTCATAAAGTGTATTTGTATCATAAGAGTAAAAAAAAGCATCAAGTGCATACAGACTATGGATGTGATTGGAATTTGTATTGATCCTAAATTATTATAATAATAACTCTAATTATAATATTAATCATTATAATAATAATTCTTGCATTTCATGTCGGGACAATGTCTCAAAGTGCTTCACAGGATATACTATAAAATGCAGTGAATGTATGCTTTTGTGGGTGAATATGATAGTGAATTTGGGGTCCTGTAGCTTAATGGTTAGAGCACTAGACTTGCAAACGAAAGGACCTGGGTTCGATTCCCAGCAGAATGAAACGTTGGGCAAGTTTCTCTATTCTACACGCCTCTCTTTACCTAGCAGTAAGTAGGAACTTGGTTGTTAGTCGATGGGCGGATCTCTTTTTCCTTCAACTTTTTAAAAATAATAATTTGGTCACTTCAATCCACAACTGTTTGTGGGATGCTGCTGGGCGCAATTGGCTGTTGTTTCGCTCGCAAAAATATACAGTCAATTCTCTTTACAGTATAATCTGTGAAGCGCTTTGAGACGTCTCAAAGACGTAATAGGGTGCTATATCAAAATCAAGGATTATTATTAATATTATTATAATTTGCACACAGAAACATCCCTCAAATAACTGTGAAGTGAATGATCAATTTCATGTGGGGATTTATTTTTATTCAGGTGGTTGTCTGACACTATTGCTATTGACCTGTGCAAAGGCCCTATGACACGTGTGAGAGGAGAGGAGAGCATCACACTGAACTATTTGCAGCAATTGGGAGGTGCTGAAGAAGATGGAGGCTTTTGATACTAATTGAACTGTTTTAAAAGTATCTGAATCACAAAAGGGCACTACCACAAGATTACAAATCCCCAGCCAAAGTGGCATTATTCAACTGAGAGGCCAGCCAGCAGCCAAAGTGATACGCTGCACGTGTGTCTGTATATGTATATAAGGTATACTTTCCGTGTCTATATACGATACACTGTGTGTGTTTCTGTGTGAGGTACACACACATATTTCTGTAATGATTTGGGTGTCAGGTTGACTCAATCGATAGCACTCTTACCTCTCAGTCAGAAGGTTATGGGTTCAAGCCTCTTGTTGGGAGTTGGAACTCATATCGTCTTCTGAAACTCCAATCCAGACTGGAGATGTGCTGCAGTGTTGGAGGTGCTGTCATTTGGATGAAATATTGAACTGATTCACTGTCTGTTTCTTCAGCTGGATGTTAGTGATCCCATGGCACTATTCGAAAAGAGAAGGGAGTTTCTCCCCATGTCCTGGCCAACAATCCCTGAATAAAATTGACTCCATGGCTTTTTGTGGGTGATTGGCTGCTACGACTACACAACTAGTGCCTTGGGACAACCTCCCAAGGCGAAAGGCACTGTACAAATGTAATTTGTTGTTGCTGTGTTTGCCTACAAAACACACAGTCACTCCATCTTCCAATATAACCTGTGGAACAATTTGTGTTGTCCTGCTGATGTGCAAGGATTATTATTATTAAGATACACTGTAAGAAATAATCTGTGTGCCCACGTGTGTGTGTGTGAGATACATTGTGCATGTGCGATGCACAGACATTTCTGAAATGATTATGAAAGAATAACGGTGGATGTTACAAAACCTGGGTGGTTATTTTGACATAATGAGGGTTTGACTGAGGAAGAATAGATCTGGCAATCTTTACTAGATCATCTATCAAGAAGAAGAAAAAAGTGGTTTGTTAACATTATTTTCAATTCTCATGTTATTTAAGTGTATATGTTATCAAATTTCATATCAATATTCAACCCATTCTTGTGCAGGCACATTCCAATCATTTAACTGATTGCTGTGTGCTTTCTGTTTAGTTATGATGAACGTAGATGGCAAATGGACTGTGGGTATCCAAGACTGATAGCTGGTGACTTTAAAGATTTCAGAAATAAAGTGGATGCAGTTTTCCACAATGATGGTCAGTGCTGATTTGGTAGCAACTATAATTATATATTCAAAACAATAGGATAAACTGAAGGAATAATTCAATGTGAACAGCTTGGATAAGACAGACCTAAAGGATTTTAAATAATATATTTATCGCTAACCCAAAGTATGAAATCAAAAACAAATAATAATCCTTGCATTTGATACAGCCCCAGATTAAGAAAATATGCATGTTTTTAGCTAACAGCTTTTCTCTTATTTATTTTACTAGCTTTGCTTTACGTGTCGAGTGAGTCGGTTCTGTATGAGTTCTGGTACTTTCAGTAGTACAGGAAACCAACTGGATACTTGTTCGCAAATTGACGCCAGCCAAATGGATGAATCGTTAAATGATTCAAGTATTTCACTGCACCATCTCCTCTGACAATATAATTTGGAAAAGAATGAAATGCAGTCTTGGAAATTAAGCAAAATTGACATTGGTTGCTTGAATTCAAACAAAATCTATGTTTATTTATTCATTTGTTTTGAAAGTATTATGTCAAATGTTCAGTTCAACTATCTGTAACTTGAATTTTAATATGGATGTATTCATTCATTGTTTTAATGGTCCAGCATATTAGACACCTTTTATTCTGACATAATAAGTCCACCATAATATTAAGAAGGTGCCTGACCATTTTTTGAACATTTTTTAATGACATTTTTCTCGTTATTATTTAAGTTTGTATAATACACGTTATGCAAGTACTGTATGACTAATTCATGTTTTGACAGTATTGTAATGTGTATTTGTGTCATAACGTGTATTTATATCATAAAAGTAAAAAGAAAATGCATACGGACTATGGATGTCATTGTAATTTGTATTGATCCTAAATTATTATTATAATAATTCTAATTATAATATTAATCATTATAATAATAATTCTTGCATTTCATGTCGGGACAATGTCTCAAAGTGCTTCACAGGATATACTATAAAATTCAGTGACTGTATGCTTTTGTGGGTGAATATGACAGTGAATTTGGAGTCCTGTAGCTTAATAGTCAGAACACTAGACTTGCAAGCGAAAGGACCTGGTTTCGGTTCCTGATAGAATGAAACGTTGGGCAAGTTTCTCTATTCTACACTCCTCTCTTTACCTAGCAGTAAGTAGGAACTCGGTTGTTAGTTGATTGGCGGATCTCTTTTCCTTTCAACTTTTTAAAAATAATAATTTGGTCACTTCAATCCACAACTGTTTGTGAGACACTATTGTGTGCTGTTGTTTTGCCCACAAAAATATAGTCAATTCACTTTACAGTATATTCTGTGAAGCGCTTTGAGACATCTCAAACACGTGATAAGGTGCTATATCAAAATCAATGATTATTATTAGTATTATTATAATTTGCACACAGAAACATCCCACAAATAACTGTGAAATGAATGATCAATTTCATGTGGGGATTTATTTTTATTCAGGTGGTTGTCTGACACTATTGCTATTGACCTGTGCAAATGCCCTATGACACGTGTGAGAGGAGAGGAGAGCACCACGCTGAACTATTAAGAGCAATTGGGAGGTGCTGAAGAAGATGGAGGCTTTTGATACTAATTGAACTGTTTTAAAAGTATCTGAATCACAAAAGGGCACTACCACAAGATTACAAATCCCCAGCCAAAGTGGCATTATTCAACTGAGAGGCCAGCCAGCAGCCAAAGTGATACGCTGCACGTGTGTCTGTATATGTATATAAGGTATACTTTCCGTGTCTATATACGATACACTGTGTGTGTTTCTGTGTGAGGTACACACACATATTTCTGTAATGATTTGGGTGTCAGATTGACTGAATCGATAGCACTCTTACCTCTCAATCAGAAGGTTATGGGTTCAAGCCTCTTGTTGGGAGTTGGAACTCATATCGTCTTCTGAAACTCCAATGCAGACTGGAGATGTGCTGCAGTGTTGGAGGTGCTGTCATTTGGATGAAATATTGAACTGATTCCCTGTCTGTTTGTTCAGCTGGATGTTAGTGATCCCATGGCACTATTCGAAAAGAGAAGGGAGTTTCTCCCCATGTCCTGGCCAACAATCCCTGAATAAAATTAACTCCATGGCTGTTTGTGGGTGATTGCTGTACGCAACTGGCTGCTACAACTATACAACCAGTGCCTTGGGACAACCTCCCAAGGTGAAAGGCACTGTACAAATGTAATTTGTTGTTGCTGTGTTTGCCTACAAAACACAGTCACTCCATCTTCCAATATAACCCGTGAAACAATTTGTGTTGTCCTGCTGATGTGCAAGGATTATTATTATTAAGATACCCTGTAGACATAATCTGTGTGCGCGCGAGTGTGTGTGTGAGATACATTGTGCATGTGCGATACACAGACATTTCTGAAATGATTATGAAAGAATAACGGTGGATGTTACAAAACCTGCGTGGTTATTTTGACATAATGAGGTTTTGACTGAGGAACAATAGATCTGGTAATCTTTACTAGATCATCTATCTAGAAGTAGAAAAANGTGGTTTGATAACATTATTTTCAATTCTCATGTTACTTAAATGTATATGCTATCAAATTTCAGAGTGTCCTATCAATATTCTATCCAGAAACCATCAAGGCTACAAACTTCAAAGTTATTGTTGCCCAAAGCAAATAACATGTCCTCCCGACGTGAAAGGCGCTGTACAAATGTAATTTTGTTGTATTTTGTTGTTGTTGATACAGATCGCATCAATGTTTTCACTCCTGCGGATCTGAACTCTTCAATCCCCCTGGGCTCTCCCTCACATTGATCGAATCAGCGCGCAATCAGGGCATCCAGTTCGAACCCCAGTTGTTCTTGCTCCCCCCCTGACCAGGACCGCTTTCTTCCACCTCCGCCACATTGCAGGCCTCCGACCGTACCTTACCCCAAATGCAGCCGAAACCCTCATGCATGCCTTTGTCACCTCCTGCCTGGATTACTCAAACGCACTCCTCGCCGATCTCCCCACCTCCACTATTTAAAAGTTCCAGCTCATTCAGAACTCGCACAATGACCCGGATCAAACTCCATACCCACATCTCACCAGTTCTGGCCAGGCTCCACTGGCTCCCCATCACCAAATGGATCGACATTAAGATTCTCACACTCGTGATCAAATCCCTTCACTCCCTGGCACCTCCCTACCTCTCCGACTTCCTCACTCCCCAATCCACCACCCGGTGCCTCCGCTCGACTGGCACCGGCCTCCTGCTCGCACCATCTGCCCCATCATCGGAAGTTGCGCTTTCAGCTACTACGCCCCAAAACTCTGGAACACACTCCCTCAATCCCTCTGCCTTGCTCTCTCACTCCCCTTTTGAAGTCACGCCTGAAAACCTTCCTCTTCGACCGTGCTTACGGCCACCTCCACCTCCCCAGCTTGGAGTCAGGCTCTGCCCACTGTTAAGCGCTCTGAGAGGAGGGTTCTATATAAGTGCAAGTTGTTGTTGATGTTGTTGTTGTTGATCTTGAACTACGAGGGGAGATTCTCTTCTTTAAAGACAAGGGCATAAATACACATTACAATTTGTAGTCTCTTTGTGAATATACTACCAATAACTTGAATTTATATAACATCCTTCACGCAGGTTAGCGTCTCGGAGCGTATAACAGTGGCAGAGCTTGACGCCGAGCGAGGGAGAGGGGAGAGATGACCATAGGCGCGGCCGAAGAGAAAGGTCTTCAGTTATGATCTAAAGATGGGTAAAGAGTGGACAAAGCAAAGGGATCGAGGCAAGGAGCTCCATAGTTTCAGGGGATAGTGGTTGAAAGCATAGGCACCAATGGTTACTCGGAGGGGAGAAGGGACATGTAGGAGGCCGGAGCCAGCTGAGTACAGGTGGCAGGTTGCGGAGTGGGGTGTAAGCAGGTTGGAGAGGTAGGGAGGTGCCAAGACATCAGATTGATTTGTACATGAGTGTGAGGATCTTGAAATCAATCCATTCTGTAATCGGGAGCAAGTAGAGTCTGCAAGGCCCGTGGTGATTGCAGCATACAGTTTGATGCAGATGAGGATACAGGTGGCAGAGTTTTGAATTAACTGGATTTGATGAATTGTGGAAATGGGAAGACCGGAAAGGATAAGTTAGAATGATGAAGGGTAGGTTTCTTTGAGGAGGGGAGCAACAACAATGGTTTTGAAGAGGAAAGCCAGGATTCTGTGGGCTCTAGGAGTTTGATGTTCTCATCAAGGATGAGTTTGTGGATACTGAAAGCTTTGTTTGAAAGGGAGCAGACATTTTGCAGGGCAATATGAATAGAGGCATTGGTGGGGGAGATTGTAGGGGAGAGAGGTTTTGGGGAGGGCTATGGTTTGTGGGGAAAATTACTGTAAAGTTTGGAGGGAAGTGAATAAGGGAAATGGGGACGCGGGCAACTTCTGGAGGCAGGAAAGATGGACCTTGTGGAGAGACTGGAGAATGGAACAGTTAGGGTGGCTGCTTCGTGACAACCATCAACAAGTATGGCGATGAGCCTGGTGGAAGATCTCCAGCCGGAAGCAGAGGGAGGATCCAGGAGGGAGAAAAGCAGGGAAGGTGGTAGGAGAGAAGAACTGAGTGGGAGTAGTGAAGGGTGAGAGTGGAAGTGAGGGCAGGGTGTGGCCCAGGTCACAGACTGCAGCCAAAACCTGACCTTGAGACGAGGAGCGAAGGAATCAGTCAGGCAGGGTCAGCCAAATCTACTTTTCCACCTCTACTCTTGATTCCAGCTCTGCTAATGTTCTGTTCACTCACCTGTCAGGCCAGGGCGAGACCCAATTTCCTCCAACTCAATATGGATAATAATAATAATAATAATAATTATAATTCTTGCATTTGATACAATGCCTTATCATATCATTGAGACATCCCAAAGCGCTTCACAGAATATATTGTAATGTGAATTGACTTCATATTTTTGGGGGGGATAACTTGGAAGCCGTCTTAGCTCCTGCCAACATCTCCTCTCTTCTGGGTCTGACCTCCTCAATATCTATGACCTTTCTGGCTCACATCCGGTCCTCCACAAAGACAACTTTCATTCACTTCCACCATATTGCTCACCTCCGCCCCTATCTCACACCCAATACGACTGAATCAGTGTCCAATCTCATCAATGGGAAGCACTCAAGGACATTGCTGAAGGGTGTTATAGAAATACAAGTGAAAGGTCTTATATAAATACAAATTGTATCACCAATTCAGATTATGAGGTTAATTACGAGGAAAGGCCTGGAGAGGTTAGGCCTTTTTCTTTCGGAACAGAGCAGTTTAAAGGTTCATTTGATTTCCAGATAATTAAAATGATCCTTGCAATTACTCTTGTTTTATAATGTTGAGATGACATTTTCTTTTTAATAGCACAAAAACAACCGTCATTTCAAGTTACCAATCTATCCAAAGACTGGCCCAAAAGCTTTGTGCAGATCATGGGGAAGCAAATTCGCTGAATTCGTTGAAGAGAACAATTCGCTGACACCGTGTTTCCTCAGCGCTTTGCAAATAATAATCCTTGCAGTTGATATAACGCCTTATCACATCTTCAAGTGCTTCACAGAATACACAGCAAAGTGAATTGACTGTATATTTTGTGGGCGCAACGTGACAGCCAATTGTCTCACAAACAGTCATGGATTCAGTGACCAATTTATTATTATTATATATTTTTTGAAGGAATTATTAACCCCGGAAAAGTGATCCGCCAATCGTTTAACAACCGGGTTCCTACTTACTGCTAAGTAAACAGGCGTGTGGAGTAAGGAAATTTGCCCAACATTTCGCGCTGGTGGGCTTTGAACAAGTCATTCACTTGTCTACGATCCTTCATCAATGATGTCTTGGCTCATGCTTTCGCTCCTCGTAGAGGTGGAGATACACACTTTGACATAGCCAAATTGGTGAAGGGTCGTGGACCCAAAACATTGACTCACTTTCCTTTCTCCATAGATGCTGCCTGACTTGTTGAGTGTTCCCAGCGACTTCTGTTTTTGTTTCAGGAAATGGAAGCTGCTGGGTGATGGTAGTGGTAATCAGGAAAACTGTTACTCCGTTTCAGTTTGTTGGTGGTTTTCTCCCCTTATTAGTCAACACAAGGTTGTGTAAGCTACCTGGTCAGCTCTATAAAACCAGCCAGTACAGAAAGCATTCACTTGTTGAAGGAATCCTGAGTGTGAAACAAGATGAGGCTCTTGAAGCCTCCTGCCTTACTGGTGCTGCTCAGTGCAGTTCTGTGTTTAACTTTTCCTCCGGTCTCTGCGCGGAGGGAAATCAATGAGAATGACTGGAGCCGCTGTCGGGTACGGAACCACAAAGATTACATATTGGGCTGTTCTGATTGAATTGAATTCTATGCAACTAAATGTAATTAAAACAGATGTATCAGTTATTGAAACAATTTTGACCTTTCTTTTTATTAATAATATATATATTATTTTAAATTTAAAAAATATTTTATAAAAATACATTTTATATTGCAAAAAGAAACAGACCCTTGGAATAAAAGCCCCTTTCCTTTTCTGTCCACCAGCAATACCTACATGACTTTTACGACATGAACATGTCGGATCCTGCTTCTGAGAGAAATGGCTTTTTGCTGAGCCAAAAGATCATGGAAATGCAGCAATTCTTTCACCTTCGATTGACTGGGACTCTGGACGAGGACACGATGGAGGAGATAGAGAAGCCCCGCTGTGGCTACCCTGATGTGAAGTCTTTCACCCTGTTTGGGGGCAGCCCCAGGTGGCCCAGGAACACAGTAACTTACAGGTACAGCTGCTTTGCCAATATTGATGTGTATGCATGTGTGTGTGTTGAGTGGGGGGGGGGGGGGTTCTTCTTTAAATGCAACCAGATTGAAATTGTTTGCTGTTTCTTCTTGCCCCCCCCCAGGGTTTTGAATGGACCACCCGGGATCAGAAGAAGTGAAAGTGACCAGGCTATTGCCGAGGCCTTTAAAGTTTGGAGCGATGTTACTCCTTTGAAGTTTCTCAAACGCAACTCTGGAAATGCTGATATCGTAATATTTTCCGCTGCCGGCAGTAAGCTCAATGATGATCATGCTTTTGATTTGCTAATCAAATGATTTGCTAAGTTAATGTTTGCTTGTTTCCCCCCCTCCTGCTCCAACTTCTGTTTATTGCTGAATATGTTGCTCCTTAGATCATGGCGATGGAGGGAATAGCAGATTTGATGGAAGGAATGGTGTCTTGGCTCATGCCTACGCTCCTGGTAGAGGCATAGGTGGAGATACACACTTCGACGCGGCCGAGAGGTGGAGTTTGACATCCAACGGTATAGAATTTCTAACTACCTCAGTCAGTAACTAACAAATCATTTGACCAAGGCATTGTTAAACCATTTTTGAGTGTTAATGTTCAGCAGTATCTTCCATGCTAGATATTTATACATTTGGGAAAAAATCGTATTAACTTCTGTACATCCATGATGTACGACAGAACAACCACAAGAGCTATAGTTAGAATGGAATTATTGCCATAACAGCAGATGGGAGGCATTCCACCCAAGTATAGATTTGACAGTTCTCTTGGCAGTCTCATACAAACATTGCAAAGTCAATAATAATAATCCTTGCATTTGATGTAGCCCCTTATCATATCTTCGAGACGTCTCAAAGCGCTTCACAGAATATACTGTAAAGTGAATTTTTATTTTATGGGCGAAACGTGGCAGCAGTGTCACAAACAGTCGTGGATTGAGTTTGGGCAATTTTGTAATTTAATTTCCAAGATGGATAATGTCCCTCTGACCCAGTTCCCAGACAGCCTAGTCTGGCTCTTACTCCTCTTCCTGAATCTTTACTTTACTTGTGTTGGAGGTGGCTTGCTGTCTCCAGGAGCTCCCTCCACTGTCTCTTGGAACCCAAGAGGAATTTTGCCGGTAAATCTTTTTTTATTCCCTGAATTGGCTTTGTTTCTCTCTGGTTTTATGTCCCATGAGAGAAGACAGAACTATGTAGCTCTCTATAATCCCAATACCTCCCTCACTCCCTTTTTGTATTGTGGAGTCCTGTAGCTTAGTAGTTAGAGCACTCGCCTCGCAAGTGAGAGGATTTGGGTTAGATTCTGGGGCAAACGTTGGGCAAGTTTTCTTATTCTACACACCTCTGTTTGCCTAGCAGAATGTAGGAACCCAGTTGTTAGTCGATTGGTGCATCGCTTTTCTGGGGGTAATAATCCCTTCAAAAAATGTTTTTGTTAAATAATAATTCAATCATTCAATCCATGGCTGTTTGTGGGACACTGTTGTGCACAATTGGCTGCCACATTTCACCCACAAAATACACAGTCAATTCACTTTATAATATATTCTGTGAAGGGCTTTGAGTCATCTCGAAAAAGTGATAAGGCACTATATTAAAAGGAAGGATTATTATTTTTATATATTGTGCATCTGCAAATGTTTACTATATCTAATAGGGGAAGGACAAATGTGTATGCGACTGCCATGAAGTTGGAAGGCAATCTGGATGGACCTCTTGTTTATTTCTCGTCTAGAATTTCTTATGTTCTAAGCTCGTGAGGAGCTACAAAGGATGTGAAAAGTGTTAGAAACCTTAGGCCATCTTCAGAGGTTCCCAATGATAGTTGCATGTTTACTATACTGTATCTGTTTCCAATTAAATGTTGTCATGCTCTTAGTTTCAATAACTAAACCTCTACCACCTCACTCACACCAAACTCCAGCCATCTCATCACCTCAATCTTTGCCAAGTTCCACTGGCTCTGTGTTTCTCTTGGGATTGATTTCTAGCTCTTCTTTACCCTGTGATGAATCCTTCACATCCTAACAACGCCTTATTTCTCTGATCTTCTACCTCACTACACACTCCCTCCACTTGGCCAACGAGGGCTTACTACTCATCATCCATCCACTCCACACCACCATTGGTGACTGAGCCTTCAAATTCTAATCACTGGAACACCCTCCCTCTACCCTTCCATCTCACTCCCTTTCTGTCAGTCTTTAAATCCCACCTTAGAATCTACCTCTTCAACCACTCCTATGACCATCTCCTCTTCCCCCTCGCGCTTTCCCTTACTCAGTCCCCAATCCTGTCTTTGTAAGTTGCTCAGAGATGTTACCCTTTATGAAGGGCGTTATACAAATGCAAATTGTTGATCAGGTAGTTTAACAGAATATATTACATGATCACTTCACAGGAATCAACTTTTTCCTTGTCGCTGCACATGAATTTGGTCACGCTCTGGGACTTGGTCACTCAAATGATAGAAGGGCTTTGATGTTTCCTACCTATAAATATGTGAACACAAGGAGTTTCAGGCTCCCATCTGATGATGTTAGAGGAATTCAAACCTTATATGGTAAGCTGCAATCTGTGCTTTTGAAGTGGTAGATTTGAATAATTCTCATTGTTGTTTTGCAATGGTCAATGACCATTTGAATGTGTAATATACCTTATGAGATTGCTCAGCTTTATACACCAATATATTTGCTGCAAAAAATATCTTGTATAATTTTACTTATCTAAGTTATTCTGCAACTGTCTCATAACCAGTGCATTGAGATGCTATCCTGCATGAAATGGACTATATAAATGCAGTTTGTGATTGTTGTAACAAGCAACAACAACAACAAGATTACATTTGTATAGTGCCTTTCACGTCGGGAGGACGTCCCAAGGCGCTGGACAGTGTACAGCCTTTATCCCATTGCTATTTGTAGGATCTTGCTGGTACAGATGATTACTCTCTTTGTCTAAACAAAGAGTCTGCACAAACTTTGTTTGCTTGATAATGATTTTCTATGAATTGCTTTCATGTGCGTTTATCTGTGATAAGAGATTCCACCTTCTTGTGCTTCCTATTTATCCATTTTTTAAAAATTAATATTCTTTAGGCAGTCAAACATGTCCACGAGGAGAACCAGGAGGGGGAAGACGAAGAGGAGGGGGAAGACGAAGAGGAGGACGGAGACGAGGAGGAAGACGAAGACCAGGAGGAATACGAAGACTAGGAGAAGGACGAAGACCAGGAGGAGGACAAAGAGAAGGAGGAGGACGAAGACCAGGAGGACGACAAGGAGGACGAGCACGAGTAGGAAGAGGGCTATTAGGAGTTGGAGAAGGATCAGGAGGACTAGGAGGACGAGGAGGAGGAGCACTGAGAGCAGGAGCACTGAGAGCAGGAGCACTAAGAGGACGAGCAGTGAGAGCAGTAGCAATGGAAGGAGCACAAAGAAGAGGAGGAAGACGAGGAGGAGGACGAGGAGGAAGACGAGGAGGAGGACGAGGAGGAAGACGAGGAGGAGGAAGAGGAGGACGAGGAGGAGGAAGAGGAGGACGAGGAGGAGGACGAGGAGGACGAGGTGGAGGACGAGGAGGAGGAAGAGGAGGAGGAGGACGAGGAGGAAGACGAGGAGGAGGACGAAGAGGAGGAGGATGTCCAAGAAGAGGACGACGAAGTGAAGGACAACGACAAGGACGAGTAGGGAGAGGACTATTAGGAGTTGGAGAAGGATCAGGAGAACTAGGAGGACGAGAAGGAGGAGCACTGAGAGCAGGAGCACTGAGAGCAGGAGCACTAAGAGGACGAGCAGTGAGAGCAGTAGCAATGGGAGGAGCACAAAGAAGAGGAGGAAGACGAGGAGGAGGACGAGGAGGAAGACGAGGAGGAGGAAGAGGAGGACGAGGAGGAGGAAGAGGAGGACGAGGAGGAGGAAGAGGAGGACGAGGTGGAGGACGAGGAGGAGGAAGAGGAGGAGGAGGACGAGGAGGAGGACGAAGAGGAGGAGGATGTCCAAGAAGAGGACGACGAAGTGAAGGACAACGACAAGGACGAGTAGGGAGAGGACTATTAGGAGTTGGAGAAGGATCAGGAGAACTAGGAGGACGAGAAGGAGGAGCACTGAGAGCAGGAGCACTGAGAGCAGGAGCACTAAGAGGACGAGCAGTGAGAGCAGTAGCAATGGGAGGAGCACAAAGAAGAGGAGGAAGACGAGGAGGAGGAGGACGAGGAGGAGGACGAGGAGGAGGAGGAGGAAGAGGAGGACGAGGAGGAGGACGAGGAGGAGGACGAGGAGGAGGACGAGGAGGAGGACGAGGAGGACGAGGTGGAGGACGAGGAGGAGGAAGAGGAGGACAAGGAGGAGGACGAGGAGGAAGACGAGGAGGAGGACGAAGAGGAGGAGGATGTCCAAGAAGAGGACGACGAAGTGAAGGACAACGACAAGGACGAGTAGGGAGAGGACTATTAGGAGTTGGAGAAGGATCAGGAGAACTAGGAGGACGAGAAGGAGGAGCACTGAGAGCAGGAGCACTAAGAGGAGGAGCAATGGGAGAAGGAGGAGGACAAGGAGGAGGACAAAGACAACAAGGAGGACGAAGACGAGGCGGACGAAGACGAGGAGGACGAAGACGAGGCGGACGAAGACGAGGAGGACGAAGACGAGGAGGACGAAGACGAGGAGGACGAAGACGATGCGGAGCTGGAGGACGAAGACGAGGAGGACGAAGACACACAACACAATCACCACCAACAACACAAACACCATCAACAACACAAATAACACAAACAGGAATCCAAAATGAGAGAAAACGAAGAGATGTTCAACAGTTAGGAGAGCTTTCGCAAAGAAGTATCCTGAATTATTGTGATACCAACATGTCCTTTGATGCAGCTTTCAATCTGCATGGATACCCTCTGTTGTTTAAGAATGGGTGCGTACTATCTGCTTAGGTTTGTAATAACTCTTCCAAACATTATCCTACATGAAGCACACAAGATAAACGCAAGTTTTGTTGTTCTCTTACATTACTTACTGTATTGCAATAATCACATCATATTTTTTAATCCATTTACATTTTATGAAATTCACATTATTATTATTATTATTAACACACTGAAAGAGTATCTTTCAATATTATGTATTGAGGACGTTTGGAAATATAGTAGAGAGCCAGTAATCAGCATTAATCGGGACTAGCTCCATTGTGATTTTGGAAACAATGGGAACAATTGGTCGCCCAAATTAGGAATGCTAAAAATATTCCATCAGGAGTTATACTATCTGAATTACACTAGGCCAGATTTTCAATCTCTGTCATGTTCTCTCTCTCTCTTACTCTCTGTCTAACTCTCTCTCTCTCATAATTTTCTCTATCTTTCTGTGACTCCTTCTAAGTTTTCTTTTCCTCTCTCTGTTATTCAGTACCTGACTTTGCTTTCTCTAGCTCATTCCCTGACCCTCGTCCTGTCTCTAACCCATTCTCTACTTGCAATAGATTGCTAAAGACTTGCCTTAGATTCATAGATTCATAGAATGTTACGGCACAGAAGGAGGCCATTCGGCCCATCGAGTCTGTGCCGGCTCTTTGACCAAGCAAGTCACTTTCACTAACCCCAATCACCAGCTTTCTCCCCATAACCCTGCAAACCCGTCTTCCCCAGATACCTATCCAGTTCTCTCTTAAAAGCTGCTATCGAAACGGACTTCACTACCCTTTCAGGCAGATCATTCCAAATTCGAACAACTCGCTGAGTGAAAAGATTGCTTCTAACCTCCCCTCTGCTTCTTTTGGTAGATATCTTAAGACTGTGACCACGGGTCACAGACACACCTACCAGTGGAAACAGCTTTTCCCTATCTAGCCTGTCGAAACCTTTCATGATCTTGAAGACCTCTATCAGGTCCCTGTGTAACCTTCTCTGCTCTAATGGGAAAAGTCCTAACTTCTCCAGCCTGTCCTCATAGCTAAGGTTCCCCATTCCTGGTATCATTCTCGTGAATCTTCTCTACACCCTTTCCAGTGCCTTAATGTCCATCCTGAAGTAAGGTGCCCAGAACTGGACGCAGTACTCCAGCTGAGGCCTAACCAGTGTTTTGTATAGATTGACCGTAACCTCCCTACTCTTATAGCTTATAGCTCCCTTCGCATAGCTGGTTCACAATCTCACTGCACGGCTAATGGGAACCCTGTAAACTTGCGTGCGTGCATTTAAGCAACTATTGTATTTTGCCAGTAGTTCTTCACGCATTGACTTCCCAGCCAAACACAATATTATAGATTGCAAATCATGCACTGATACTGAACATGAAGTGACTTTAGAATACTTCAATATGGTTTGGTTTTATTTATTTTGTATTTTTTTATTCTATGAAGTTTTGAACATTGGGACAAGCAGACATCAGTTTTTCATTTCAAAGAAAGATATTGTAAATCTACAAATGGATTTTGCAGATCGAATATCACATCGCAGTAACACTCACTTTAATGCTTTAAAATTGCATTTGGCCTGAACATTACACTGCACATTGCTTACTGAAATCTCTAAAACAATCAGTCTTTTTCCGTCTTTGTTAGTTTGAGCCTCACAATTCACCATTTGGGAAACATGCTTAGTTCTCACAATCCAAAATGTGCAATCAGCACAATAACAAAAACAAGCTACATTTGTACAGTTCCTTTCACAATAGGAGGACGTTCCAAGCCGGTGAATAAATCTCCAGTTTTCAAATATTGCATTGAAGACCTTGAAATCTAGCATCAATACAAAATATTTCATTTCTTAAATTATGACAGATACATGATTTCAAGCCATTGTTTTTACTATCCTAATGCAAAAAAAAAGTGTAGTCAAAGCAGTAAATAAATATTGAATTGTTTAATGTTTTTTTAGGATCGGTTTATCGAAAGACCCATACTCAGAAAATATGAAACAATTCCCAATCTACGCATTTTTCCCGAACATCCCATCGATCGATGCTGCAGTTAATGTCCCAGATGAAGATACGGTCATTCTTTTCAGAGGTTCTCCACGGATTTATTTCTATTTTTCATGCACTTTACGCTTTGTTACATATCTCCATTCAGCATCTGTAGCCAATGTCACAAATTTGTAAGATTAATTAATTCGTATTAACTTTGTGTGTTCATTGGTACACCATGGTTCTACATGGGAATGTGGAGAGAGCTTTGTATTTCCTATTTCTTTAAACAGAAGTCATATTTGCAACTGGTAAATATTGCTTGAAGCATTCAACAGGCTTAAATATCTTCTATCTTATAGCTATTTACTGAATTCATTGTTTAAATCCCATAGGATCTGAGTACTGGAAATCCAAATGGTTACGATTGTTGCCAGGTTTCCCTCAAGGTATCAGCAGTCTTGGATTTCCAACATCTGTCACTCAGATCGATGCTGCATTATATATCAAACTGGAAAAGAAGGCATTGTTCTTTGTGGGAGATCAATATTGGAGGTTTGAAATGTTGTCATTTTATCCTGTTTTTGATAATATTTCGTAATCAGTTCCATTTCATCCGTTCTTCGGATGGGATATTATACCGAGGTCCCATCTGCCTGTTCAGGTGGACCATTAATGATCCCATGGCAATGTTCGAGAAGAGAAGGGAGTTTCTCCCAGTGTCCTGGCCAACAATCCCCCAAATAAAAAACTAGCCGCTCACTCCGTGGCTGTCTGTGGGACATTGCTCTGCACGAACTGGCTGCCGCTTTTCGCCCACAAAATACACAGTTAATCCATTTTACAATATATTCTGTGAAAACCTTTGAAATGTAGTATCAAGTATTTTCTTCCTTAACAAGAGCCTAAGTGTAATAAACATAGAGAACCATTGCAATATCTCATTAATGTTTAAACGTTATATCATTAACATTTAAAAAATAAATGTGTTATGCTCTGGTTTTTAGTTATGATGTGATGAAAAATCGTATGGACACAGGCAATCCAAAACCAATACAAGATAACTTTCCTGGAATTGGTAACAAAATAGATGCAGCGTTTGATTTTGAGGGTGAGTACAAAGTGTTTTGAAAGCCCACTCCACCACCCACTCCTTCACTCAACTGACTCCGGCCTTCTACACGTGCCTTATCCCCTCCGCTCCTCCATCAGCGGCCATGCTTTCAGCTATTACACCCTGAAACTCTGGAACTCTCTGCCTCAATCCCTCCACCTTGCCCCTCTTTGCTCATCTTCAGATCACATCTGAAGATCTTCCTCTTTGACCATGCCTTTGGTCACCTACCCTCTCCCTCCGGCTTGCTGTCAAACTCTGCACTGTCAAGCACCTTAAGACATTACCCGGGTGAAGGGTACTATATAAATGCAAGTAGTTGTTAAAACACGAAAAATGTAAGAAAAGACATTCTAATTTGCAGTTTACTATAAATTATTTATATGCTTGTTTTTTCTTTCTAGGTTTCTATTACTTTTCTAATGGAGCAACTCTATACAAATATGACCCCAGGAACAGACAAGTTAACAGTGTTTTGAAAGCAAATTCCTGGTTTGATTGTAAATAGGTGGCTCTCAGGTATAATTTAGCGCTTATAGCTTCGTACTCACACTCAAAATCAAATTTAGTTAGTGGAGTCCTGCAGCTCAGTGGTTAGAGCACTTGCCTTGCAAGCGAGAGACCTGGGTCTGATTCCCAGCAGGGCAAAAACTTGGGCAAGTTTCCTTACTCTACACGCCTGATAATAATCCCTCAAGAAAAATAAATACCAATAATAAATTGGTCGCTTCAATCCACGCCTGTTTGTGGGATGCTGCTTTGCGCATTTGGGTGCCCTGTTTCGCCTACAAATATACAGTCAATTCACTTTATAGTATATTCTGGGAAGCTCTTTGAGACGTCTCGAAGACGTGAAAAGCACTATATTAAATGCAAGGATTATTATTATTATAAGTTACGTGAATACATTCTTATGGTGCACTGCATGAAAACAAGGTGCTACTTGCTGATATCATATGCTTAATACTGGATGAATAAAACAGTACATTTAATTAATTTATCATATCCATAACAGTATGTTACAATATTTTCATATAATGTACCTTAAAACAACTGTTGAATATTCCTAATTTGCAACATATATTATTAGCGTAATTTACGGAGTAAGGTTTGGATATGCAGTCAAAGTATACACACAACAACAACAAAATTACATTTGCAAAGCGCCTTTCACGTCAGGAGGATGTTCCAAGGCACTGGACAGACAGAGTTATGGACCCGAGCTGACCCGAGTCTTGATTTGAACTTGATGTACAACTGTGCCTTATTATTATTTTCAAACTGTGGATTGTCCAACTCCAATAATAACAATGATTTGTGTTTATATAGCGCCTTTAAGGCAGAAATAAAAATTTGAAGCGCTGCACATCATGTAATTCATTGGAAGATATTGTGCTTATTGACGATCTTAACTGAAGATCTTGTGCTGCAATCACCATCTTGAACACAGGGCCACTCAGTAAAACATGATAGTGGTTGAGCTCTCAAGTGAACTATTATGGCTCTGCACAGCTCAAGAGGGGACCTTGGAGGTACTGACTGAAAAACGTAAGGGGCATCCGTCCCAATTGTTGATTCTCATCGGTATCTGGGGTAGTGGTGGGTATCAACTTCGGCTTGGACACCATCTTTTGGGATAAACTGAGAAGAAACTAAATTCACTTTCATCATTCTTGTCTCTCTTCAATATAACAAGGTCCCAATGCAGCTAAACTTGTGGTGTATAAAAAAACCTATGTCCAAATAGTTCTCCTTCATAGTGCAGAACTTCTGAGCATGCAGCGGAGGGGCTCTCCTTTGACTCATTTGCCAAGTAGAGGAACAAGTATTGAGGTGGATTTGTGGTAAACGGACAAGTGGCTGAAGGGAGGGAGGGCTGCATCTGTTGCAGAGCAATCTGGAAGTGGAGCTAGCTTCAGAGTGGGCATATCTTATTTACTTACGAAAGCCCCTCAAATGAGGACCTTGATTAAGCAGTTGGTGCTGAGTAAGCCTTATATGTGGCATTGGACTTGGACCGCTTGGATACCAAAGTTACGATCAAGTCACAAGCTAGTCTGTAAAGATCCTCCCACCATGCTAAAGGCAAATATCTGTTGAATAGCCAATGAAGAAACTCACGGGACAACAGCAGCTGGAAAGCATTATCTGCAGTCCAGGTTAGAAACACATACTCATATATCCAGGGCTTGATATCCATCTGAATTGGTACAGATATGGGTCTTGTCTGACCAAACTCATGAAGTTTTTGGAGGAGGTCACAGATCAGTTGATTGTGGGTAGCCATATAATGTACTATTATCTAGGTTTCCAAAGGCATTTGACAAACTACTACATTAAATACTCCTTAATAATAATGATAATAATCCTTGCATTTGATACAGCGCTTTTCACGTCTTCTCGGCGTCTCAAAGCTCTTCATGGAATAGACTGTAAAGTGAATTGACTGTATATTTGTGGGCGAAACGCGACAGCCAATTGTGCACAGCAGCGTCCCACAAACAGTCGTAGATTGTAAATGACCAATTTATTATTGTTTTGTTTTGGAGGGATTATTATTAGGTGTGTGGAGTAAGGAAACTTGCCCAAGGTTTTGCCCTGCCTGGAATTGAACCCAGGTGTCTCGCTTGCAAGGTGAGTGCTCTAACCACTGTGCTACAGGACTCCATATTTCACTATCAATGGTAAGCCATGGACAAGGATTCTGAATTGGCTGAAGGGAAGGAGGTAGAGGATCTTTGTTAGGGAAGCTAGGTCAGAATGGGGAGAGGTTCTAAGCGGAGTGCCTCAACGGTCTGTAATGGGAATCCTTCTGTTCCTCATATACATTAATGGTCTGGAATCCCACACTCAGTGTAAGATAGTTAAATTTGCATATGACACTGAGTTGGGGGGAGCTGCGGAATCAGAGGAGACAGCAAAGGTTTTTCAAAGAGAGCTTGATAGGTTATTCCAGCCTACTCCAGGTCTCCCGCCCGACCCGTCCTACCATCGGTGGCCATGCTTTCAGCCTCTCTGCCCCCACTCTTTGGAACCCCATCCCACATGGCTTCAGCTGCCCTCCTACACCCTCTACCCTCCGTCATCCCAACCTGCACTCCCCACACTTGGGTCCTGTTTGTTCAGCACCTTGGGAAGTCCTCCGATGTGAAAGGCCCTTTACAAGTGTCATTTTGTTGTTGTTGTATTCACATGGACTGATAACTAACAAATAAAGTTTAACACAGATAATTGTAAGGTACTACACTTAGAATGCAATAACAGGAAAAACGAGTACTCCATGAATAGGATGGAACTGGCCAAGGGGGAAGCTGAAAGACAATAGGGGTGTTTGTTAACTGATTGTTCACAATGTCAAAACACTGTGAGGGAGCAGGAAACAAGGCAAACAGGATGTTGGGTTATATTGCCAAATCAGGTGAGTTTACATGTTGAGTTTACATGGGGTCTTCCAAGGTGGTGCAGAGGAAAGCAATTGAGGTGGTGCAGAGGAGAGCAATGAGGAGGATCCCCAGTGTTAGAGGAATGAGCTATGAGCAATAATTAGACAAGTTAGGGTTCTGCAATCTTAGGAGAAGACAACTCAGAGGGAACCAATAGAAATGATAATAATAATCCTTGCATTTGCTAAAGCACCATATCACATCTTCAGGACATCTCAAATCGCTTCGCAGAATATACTGTAAAGTGAATAGACTATATACTTTGTGGGCAAAGTGCAGCAGGCAATTGCGCACAGCAGTGTCCCACAAACAGTCATGGATTGAGTGACCCCATTATTATTATTATTTTTAAAAAAAATTTGAAGGGTTTATTACCTTCAGAAAGCGATGCGACAATCGACTAACAACCAGAGTCCTACTTACTGCTAAGTAAACAGAGGCGTGTGGAGTAAGGAAACTTGCCCAACGTTCCGCCCTGGTGGGAATCGAACCCAGGTCTCTTGCTTGCGGTACACAACCAAAATGAACACCCTATTCATTTGTTACAGTATTCTATAGAAACCCCCAGTTTATAGAGCTCTCTCTCCAATCGCAGACACTGAAGTTCTCCTCCACATGTATGTACAGAAATGCCTCAAGACAAGAGCACAAGGGTTTAGAGTTGTCAAGGGTAATTTCAGGCCAGAAGCTTTAGTGTACTTTGTGTGTAATTAACCACTGTAAAAGGTTGCCAGGAATGGTGGTTTAGTCTCAGATGTACCTGATCAGATGTTTCACCCTCCTTATAACTTCAAAGTGCAGCTACGTCAGAGTCATACATGTCTTAGCGCAACTATGTCTGTAGCCGTACAGTGGAACTTGTCAATTCAGAGGAATTTGGAGAACCCAAAGTAACCTTGTCAATTGTCGCTAGGATTAGGTCCATAAAAATAAGCACTTTCTGATTATGGAATATTGCATTTGGGTGGCTGGTACAGATAAATTGTAGGTTTATTCATTTTTTTTAAAGTGTCTATTTTTTAAAAGTGTCACTGGTTCTTCAATAACTTAAAAAACAGTCTATTTTACGCTGTTCTTGAAACGGTCTCCAATGGGATTATTAGGAGCAGAGACCCTTAGTGCTTGAAGGTTGAGAATATTGCAACAATTTGCAGCCGTGTGTAGTATAAAAGCGGTTTCAGTGGTTTTCGCAGGGAGCATTGCACAAGTCAGATCTACAGGTTCCTTGATACTTTGCACATCTTTGCTAATCTTCAGATCTTACATTGTAAAGTAAATTACTGCCATTATGGAGTGTGACATTTCAACACTAGGACACCAAACTGATTTGTAAAATTCTGTCACACAAAAGGAAATTGAAGAAGTTGATGTAATATGTAATCAGCAAAACTGTTGCTACGTTTTAGTTTGTTTGTGGTTTTCTCCCCTTCTTAGTCATTGCGAGGTTGTGTAAGCTACCTGGTCAGCTCTATAAAACCAGCCAGTACAGAAAGCTTTTCACTTGTTGAAGGAATCCTGAGTGTGAAACAAGATGAGGCTCTTGAAGCCTCCTGCCTTACTGGTGCTGCTCAGTGCAGTTCTGTGTTTAACTTTTCCTCAGGTCATTGCAAGGGAACAATTCACTGGGAAAGAATGGAGCCGCTGTCGGGTACGCAGTCACAAAGATTATTCATTGTATTGTCTCGATGGATTAAATTCTACATTTTTTAAAAAACTTCTGCAATGTAATTAACAATGTAATTCAGAACAATTAGGAACTGTTTTGACTTGAAATAAAGCCTGATTTCTTTCTTTTAATTAGGATTACCTTCAGAAGTTTTACAACCTGAGTACGTCTGAACACTCTTCCTCCAGGAGTGGTGTCTTAAAACTAAAGATTAGAGAAATGCAAAATTTCTTTGGTCTCCAAGTGACTGGGAGGCTAAACCAACAGACATTGGACATGATGGGACAGCCTCGCTGTGGTTACCCTGACGTTAACGAATACAGTTTTTTCCCAGGACGCCCAAGCTGGCCCAGTAACACAATATCCTACAGGTAATGACCCTGTCTGTAAGACATGTATTAATGTATAAAACAATTGGAACCAAATCAAATTGCTTACTGGTTATGTTTCATGTTGTTATTGCTTATATTGTACATTCCATGGATTTAGATGTAATAGAATATAATGTGTTCTCTCTCCTCTCTCTTTCCCTCAACAGAATTCTGAAATACACCCCAGACCTGAGGAGGGAAGAAGTGGATCAAGTTATTTCCATGGCATTCCAAGTGTGGAGTGATGTTACTCCTTTACGTTTTGTGAGACAGACCTCTGGACAGGCTGATATCATGATAATATTCGCAGCTGGCTGTAAGTACAATGATAAGACTATAACCCCCACCCCCCTCCCATAGTGTTGAATGAATGTGCAACTAATTTTCTAACCTTATGTTTATGATTTGAATTTGTATTTCTAGATCACGGTGACAATGCACCATTTGATGGGAGCGGTAGAACTCTGGCTCATGCTTATGGTCCTGGACGTGGTATTGGGGGTGACGCGCACTTTGATGAAGATGAACAGTGGACACTGTCCAGATATGGTATGGACTTTCTCAATACTGTTATTAGCTGACAAGAAAATTGAGCAGGTTAGGGCTTTTCTCTTGGGAAATTAGTCGATTAAGAGGGGATCAGATAGAGGTGTTTCTGAAAGATTCAATAAGGTGGACATTAATAGGCTGATTCCACTTCTCACTGAGACCAAAAAAGGGGCATAAATATTAGATAGATAGACGGTAGCAAAGCTGAAATGGGGTTTAGGAGAATGATGAGAATGTTGAATTCAGACTGGAAGCTGTGGCTGAAGCAGAAAGCATCAATGTGTTTAAGAGGAATCTTTATACAAAGATGGGGAAGAAGGGAATAAAGGGATTTGAAGGGAAATGGGAGGTGGGTGGGGTGGGTAGAGACTTATGTAGAGTATAAACCTATAGTAGGCTGATTGAGCTGAATGGCCTGTTTCATGCGGTAAACGTCCATGTATTTCTATACTCAGCAAGTGCCACTTTAGACTAGTTTCACATTTTATCATTGGATTTGGTGTTTCCCATTAAATATTTGACTGAAAGCTACAATTTTATTGTGCACATTATATTCTCTTAAGTCTAAATTTATAGAGTGTACAATATAAGCAATAACAGGCATAGATATATCCATGATTTCAAACAGATTTTGAGCATCAAACGTGAAATAAATGCAGCATTTGAAGGCATATTCAAGTTTCACTTTTCAAATTTGTGTCAAGAAAATGTTTCTTAGTTGTGAGTTTTGGGAAAAAAAATGCTGAACTAACAGTTTGCATTTCGTGATCACTTTCACAGGGATCAACTTGTTCCTTGTTGCGGCACATGAATTTGGTCACTCTCTGGGACTTGGTCACTCAAATGTTAGATCTGCCTTGATGTTTCCCACCTATCAGTACGTAGAGACAAACGGATTCAAACTTTCATACGATGATATTCAAGGGATCCAGACTCTTTACGGTAAGTTGAAATGTGTGGTCCAAAGGCGGCTGGTAATATTAAACAAAGCCCACGGGTATTTCAAACGAAGCTACCAATGTACCATATAATCACATGTATTCAATGAGATTAGTAGGGTTATAGAGCATCCAGAGTGCTCCAGTGAATATTTGACTTTTCAATTACAAAATCTCACAATGGAAATTCACCAATAAGATCAGCAAATGGACTGAGGAATGTCGACCACATTAATGGGTTGACTTCACTGGTGAGTTGATTACTGTACCATGTAATATGTTGAAATGCCAAAGACGACAAAAACTGACCACATTAGTGAGGTAACCATAAAGTGAGTTTCCACTGTTCTTTATTCCTCAAATATTTCTCAGCAGCAGATACCTTCAAATTTGTCAATCATTTGTGTTTGCTTCAGCCTAGAAAGAAACCTTCAACAGAATGTATTTGCTCTTCGGTTACCACCTTGTTTTTGATAAAGTGCCTTTCCGATTAGGAGGACTTCTCAAAGTCTTCACAGAATTTATTGTGAACTGTAGTCACTTGTTTTTGTAGATGAATACTGTAACCAGTTTGCACACAGTAATGTCGCACAAACAGGCATGAAGTAAAAGCCCAATTTTGTTTGGAGGGATTGTCCAGCAAACCAGAGGAAATTTCTTTTATCTGAAGCTTTAAAATAAATTCTTCTCTTGCCTTTTAGGAGCTCAAACTAACGGAGGGTCTCGAACAACCAGACCCACAAAGCCACCCAGTCCCACAAAGCCACCCAGAAATACAAAGCCAAACAGACCCACAAAGACACCTGACAAATGTGATCCCAACTTGTCGTTTGATGCAATTACCAGTCTGCGTGGAGAACTTTGGTTCTTTACAAATGGGTAAGAATTAATATTTTGCTCCATCCCACACAGCTCTATACTGTAATCAGTATTGAAAATATTTTCATTTAAATGTTAGGAAATCAACTAAACTAAGTAAGTTGGTGGGATAGTCGATTCTCCATAAGCTATTCTGATACAGACTCACAACCTTATAATTAAACTTTTCCTTTTGTCACCCCTAAACATTCTTTGGCTCATGTTTTTGGGGTACCACTCTAGTACCTCTCCCACACATTTCTTGTCTATTATTGCCCAGGCACTCAAGGGTTTAAGTAAAGTATAGCTGTCTTGAGTGGATGGGCATGTACGATAGGAACATACTAGCAGTGGCCAGTTACGGTTAAGCTTTCTAACTGGCAAACTATCACCTTAATAAAGCAATGGCTGTGCCAACCGCTGGTGATTTCACAACTTCAATCACGGAAAACTGTGTTTGAATGACACTTCATGGGATCACTCAATATTGCCTTTAGAAGTCTGCAATGTCACTCTGTCAAGTTCTCAGTTTTTCGTCCTCCAGTCAGCCTGAAATCAGACTGTGGTATGTGGATTCCAAAAGCTGCCCAAATGAGAATAAAACAGTCAATGAGGCTAACATTGTGCCAAAGTGAGTAAGCTGTTCATACATGAGAGTTGTGAGTAATTATTCACTGAAATTATAGTTCAATATTTTATGAAACATAGCAATGTTTACTCGATTGTCTGGAGTCACGTAACTGAAGGAGAAATAGAAAGTTAGAGCAATGCAAGCCATGTTGGTTTCACACTAGCCCAACAGACTGAATGCATAGATTGAACCGCTAGTAATAAGAATAATAATCCTTGCTTTTGATATAGCGCCCTATCATCTTGTTGACTCGTCTCAAAGCACTTTACAGAATATAATGTAAATTAGATTGATTTTGTATTTTGTGGGCTACTAAGCTGTCTCAGTGAGGAGACACGGTGTTATGGAGAAAAATGCAACTAATAAAATCTATGTGTTATCTTAACATGTTATCTATTATTTAGTATCTTTTGGCGAAAACAACCTCGAAGGCAAGATGTGTCATCGGTTTCCATCAGTTACCTCATTCCTAACATCCCGTCGATCGACGCTGCGGTTGAATTTCAGAATGAAGATGTGATCCTTCTTTTCAGAGGTTCTCTGGATTTATCTTTCTCATACACTTTACACATTGTTTAATACATCTACACAGCATTGTAGCTAATGTCAGTAATAGAAAAAGGCACAATCTTTGCCAGATAATTGAGACAAACTTTGTTTTATTGTGTTCATTTCCCTGGTAATGAACATAGGATGGTAAAGGGGACCTTTTATTTAATGTTTTTATGGACTCAGCCACAATTATATTTCCATCTAATAAATATTGCTTAAAGTACTCAACAGTTTTAAACATCAAATGCTTTTACTCAAAATCATTCTTATAACTCCACAGGATCTCAATATTGGAAAATCAGAGGATTTCAGATGTTGCCAGGCTTCCCTCGGAATATCCTTTCCTTTGGATTTCCAAGATCAGTTTCTCAGATCGATGCTGCATTATATATCAAGGAGGAAAAGAAGGCACTATTCTTTGTGGGAGAGCAGTACTGGAGGTATGAAGTTGTTTAATAGGAAAAGGACGAGGTTTTAAAGGCTCTGGAATCTGTTCCTCCATTATATTGGATAATGGCAGATTTTCTAATCTCATTTGACCAGCTTTTCTCCTTATCTAAGCATCTATCTATGTCATAGTGTGATATCCTCTAAGAAACAACAAAAAATATACTAAAAACGCTTGTCACCATGCCCTTAAAAGGGATCATACTGGACTGAAATGGCAATAGTGTGATTGGTTAGTTGATTTTGGAGACGACAGAGATTAATTTTAGGTAATTTTTCTTCCATACGTAATCAGTTATTTTTAAATGAATATGTTTTGTGCTCTCTTGTACAGTTATGATGTGACGGCAAATCGCATGGATCCAGATTATCCAAAAAGTATAGAAGATGACTTTCCTGGGATTAGTAATGATGTGGATTCAGCATTTGAAATGGATGGTAAGTACAGAGTCAGAGTATAAATAATAATTTGTGCAATTTTAAGTCTGAATTGGAATCATATTGCGCTCAGGATAAATCACTTGTTAATAATAATAATTCTTGCATTTGATATAGCACATTATCATGTTATTAAAATGTCTCAAAGAGTTTCACAGAATATACTGTAAAATGAATTGACTGTATATTTTGTGAGAGAATTGCAGCAGCCAATTATGCACAGCAGTGTCCCACAAACACTCGTGGATTGAATGACCAAATTATTTTCTTCATGTTTTTTATGTAGCCCTTTCAAGTCAGGAGGATGTCTCAAAGCGCTTTATAGTATATATCACGAAGTGACTGCATTATAGATGAAAATTGGTCATAAATATTGAATAACTTGAAATTGTATTTTACTCTGATTCACTCTAGGCTACTTTTACTTCTCCAATGGTGCAACACAGTTTAAATACAACAACAAGAACAAAATGGTTACCCAGGTTTTCAAAACAAATTCCTGGTTAAACTGTAAATAGAAGAATGAACATTGAACTTCTGAAAATATTTCTTAAACACAGATTCACACCGAAAGTTTCACAACAAGTTGAACTTTTGTGCTGGTTACTAAGTTTGGTTTAGTTTAAATTCTTGAACTATTTAAACAATTGATTGCAGAAAAAGTACACTGTGTATACCAACATTATATGCAGTGCCTCTAAATGATTACAGTGTTACGTTTAAATTCTTGAACTCTTCAAACAATTGATTGCTATGGCTTGGCTAATGATATTATATGTGATCTAATCATTCATTCACTGAACGATCACTTCATCTGATAACACAACTAATACAATGGCTAATGCTTTCTGATATTGTATTATGAAATGTGATAGTTTAGCATTTGACATTTTTGTGTCGCTGTGGAGATAAGTTAAACATAGCTTCATTCATGTCTAGACAGCTTATTTTTTTTGCATCTCTTAAATATTCTGCTGAACCGTTTTATTCAAGATTTGCTAAATCCATTGCACTAAATGAAGCGGGAAAATAAAAGGTCTGTTTTTACAAATAAGTGTGTCTTGTTGTTTTGATTTTCAAACAGTAGCTTGTCGACTCACAATAATAACAATAAGTTTCAAGTAAAAATAAAGTCCTAGAGCTTAGTGGTCAGAGCACTTGCCTTGCAAGCGAGAGGACCTGGGTCTAAATATAGTTCTAAAATGTACTGTTTAACATTGCTGATGTGATGTATGACTCACAGGAAACTTTATAGACAAAACTTCACTTCAACGGGAAAGGAGTTGATGACTCAAACAAAGCACAAATTCATGTCTGATAACATAACAGAAACTCCATTAAAACTAGCCATGCAGCCAGTATCAGCTGAGTTAATGACTATAACAATTGGTCAAGCCACCCCCGCTTTCACCTTGAAGGTGAGGAGGAGGAGGAACAAATCAAGCAGATGGCATGTATGTGGGATTACTCAAATGAACAAGCAAACAATGGGTCCTAAACACCTCATGGTACTTGGTATATAACACAATTTAGTTTTCAAATTGGGATGAGTGTTTTTTTTACATAGTTCTTTCATCTCATGATGAATTATCACTGCTATCCTGTCCTCCGGGGTGTGTATCTGTGTGTGTGTGTGGGGGGGGGGGGGGGCGGGTAGAGCAGGGAGTGAGGGAGAGGTACAGTAGGTTGGAGTTGAACTGGCTCCAAAGTAATATTCATGGCAATGAAATGTCAGAATCAATTCAATCCTCTGTGGCAGTCCTTGTAGTGCAGTTACTGAGCAAGGTATGTCTGGAATACTGATGACATCCCAGGGAGCCAGGCTCATTGGTAGGACTTGGAGTGGCAGTCCAGTCAGACTGGTCTGCCTGCGCCTCAACGTCCTACCATTCAGCTCCTGTTAACTTGCAAGCCAAAGCCCTAATGGGTAGAGTGGTCCTATCTGCACAAGCAGCAGGAAGCTTCCCAGTAGTATCTTAAACTCCAGCAGTATCCCAGTGCATACAACAACAACAACAACAAGATTCCATTTATAAAGCGCCTTTCACGTCAGGAGGACGTCCCCATACCTTAGGGTCTCCAACCTATGTCAGGATCTTGCCAACCTGTGCCTTGTACTCTCTGGAATTATATAAGCAGGAAGTGTCCCTTGAGGGAGAAAGTTTGTATTCTATTGCAGATGCAGGAATTTCCGAGTGTAGCAGCCATGCATGAAGCTCTGTCTGGTTTGGATACTCTTAGGCAGGGTCATGGGTTTCTGCATGTGTCAGACACACTGCTGACTAAAACAAAATGCTGAATTATGGTTAAACAGGACAATAAGTTTGTTGAAAATGTTTTGTGTAATATAAAGAAGATAAATACTCTCACCTCTGGATCAGAAGGTTATGAGTTCAAGCCCATTATCACGACTGTGAGCTCATAGTCACTCAATGCAGTGCTGGGGGAGTGCTGCAGTGTCAGAGGTACCATCCTTTACATGACCAAGGTCTTGTCTACTTATTCAGGTAGACAGTAAAGATCCCATGGCAATATTTGAAAAGAGAAGAGGGTTTGTCCAAACGTTATGGTCAACAATCCCCCAGGTAAGAAAAAAATGCTCATTGTGTTCACAACTGCTTGTGGAACATTTCTGTATGCAAATTAGCTGCTGTTTTCATCTACAAGTAATCACTACACTTTACAGGAAAACTATGCTAAGACTTTTCAACGTGACAAGGCAATATATAAATGTAAATGTGCATTTTATTTGTAAAACAAATGTAAGAATAATAATAATCCTTGCATTTGATATGACGCCTTATCATGTCTTCAAACATCTCAAAGCACTTCACAGGATATACTATAATGTGAATCAACTGTATATTCTGTGGGCGAAACGCGGCAGCCATTGGCGCACAGCTGTATCCTACAAACAGTCATGGATTGAGTGACCAAATTCTTTTTTTTTCGTTTTACCCCCGGGAAAGCAATCCGCCAATTGACACTACCCTGCTCCCTGCTATTATAGTAATATATTGTATAGTAAGTAATATACTGTGTGTATGCTATGTTATAATAATATATAGTATATTATCTCCTAAATTGTTTCAACTTTGTTCTTTAAGTTGTGCAGAGAACCCATTTTACAAAACTGAAATGTCTAAAACACTTAGACTGAAAAAGCATTTGTCAGAAACAAACATCCTAAATACCACTTCACACCAGAAAAAAATACCTTGGCATATTAAATAAACCATCTCAAAGGAACCCCATGAATGTCACTAAATCTGACCCAAGTGTTTACAGATAGTCGTCCCCTAAGAATGAAACGTTAAGGCAATTGATGCAGTCTGTTTTCTGCTTTATTGTTTAACTTGTGCACTTTTTTCCTTTCAATGCTTGATTCTTGTCACCCTGGAGTTGATGAGGAGCAGCGATGCTATCATACATGCAACCATTTTGCTCCACAACATGTTCACAAACTTTTGTAAGACCTTGTCCACCTATCGTCCTTTTGGTGTTGTGGATTTGTACTTTCACCTGCACTTCTACATTGATTTCCACACAGTGATTTCTCGGACTACTTCTAACAATGAACAGCATTGGTAAGAATGATGAATGATGAATAATTCAACATTCATCATCAAATATTTTATTTCTGGCAAGCAACCTATTTAATAGTATTTCTATTCTGACCTGTAATGTCCTTTTGAAAAAAAATGTTCTTAACTTGGTAAATAATGTTTGCAATTTTGAAAACATAGAACCAAATGAGGAACCATTATTAAGCAAGAACGAACATGGTGTGCAGACTGCTGGAGGGTACGCCCACTTTCCAGTGGGAAGGTATTGAGGTCAGACCATAAGCTGTTGCTGCAAATTCCTATTCCAGAAAAGGGAAGCTAGGTAAATAACCGTTAATATTAATGGAAAACAAATAGAAAGTGCGTCTGCAGAGGAAACCTTGATAAGCATTTTATGTGCTGGCTATACAATGGAAATGATATGAATCACTGGTAATCCGTCACAATAGTTCACTGTTTCAGATAATGGGTCACTGAAAAATAACTCGGATTACAGAAGCAATTGATTTTACTGATAGAAGCAGCGGGACAGCATTAAGTGCATGATGGGAGAGGCAAGATACAACAACTCTGCCGAAGTGGACAGGAAGCCAAGGAGAGGACACTGCAGATTGACTTTGGAAGGTCATGGTTAGATTGGTCCAGCGCGCACGTCCCCAACTTTTGTTGTTGCATCTTTAACACATAAACTATTAAATATTCCCTGATTTATTCCCAGAAATTCTTCAAAGATCTGCAGTTTAGTGCTGCAGAGTTGCAATTCTTTAGTTCTTATGAACCAAACTTACATTAACTGGGAGGGAGAATTTCTTTGTAAACTGAGCAAAGATGTCCAGCCACAGTGGACTGACCTCTCTATCTCTCTACCTCTGTGACTTCCTGCAACCAGACTGCCCTGGCGGTGAGGGAGGAGAGAAGAGATAGGGTCGAAGGAATATGGGGGGGATGGGTGAGGGGTTGGTCATGAGGGAGAGGTGATGTGGAGGTGGCAGTGGACAGGGCAGAGGTGGCTGAATATATCCCTTCGATTTTGGATTCAGGAAGTCCAGCATCTCCTCACAATTGGAGTTTGAGGAGAGGATGGGCGAGGCATGGGAAGGTGGACGGAGGAGACAGTTTGTGGTGGAAAAGAGAAGCCTGCTGTTGTCCTTTGCCTTCAAGATAACCTTGGAGTAGAAGGAGGATTTGGCAGAGGCAAGAGCGCAGTGGTAGTTCTTGGTATGATGAAGCCAAATCTGCCAATGGAACATTAGTTTGGATTTGGTCCAGGCGCGTTCAGTAGCTCACACTTGTGCCTCGAGGGAATGGAGATGGCTGGTGTACCAGGGGTATTTACAGGAGTGTGAGGCAGTTCGGGAGGTGAGGGGGCAAGGGAGTCCAGAATGGAGGAGACGGAATTGTGGAGAAAAGAGAACGAGGAGGGGAGATCGGTCAGTGAGGGCCAGAGGTATAGGAGTTCAGATAACTCCAGGGCAATGGAGAGGGAGGAATTTTTTTTCCATGGACGGTAGATGATGGTAGAGGGTTGAGAAAGGGGAAGGGGTACGGAGGTGTTGAAAGACATGAAATGGTGGTCCAAAATGGCTTTGTCGATGATGGTGATGTCCCAGACGGTGAGGCCCCGGTGATCACCAGAACAAGGGGGTGGCCACGGTCGTGGGTGGGGGAGTGGATGTGGAGGGAGAGGTTAAGGGAAGAGAGGAGGAAGGAGAAGTCGGCAGAGGTAGAGCAGGAGGGAGTGAAGTGGAGGTTGAAGTTGCCTAAGATTAAGAGGCAGAGGGAGAGGGAAGATAGGAGGGTAGAGATGTCCGAGAGGAAGGTGGGGAAAGGCTTGGAGGGATGGTAAACAAGGAGGATTTTGAGGGAAAGCCTGGAGGTTAGGATAAGGTGTTCAAAGGAAGGGAAGGTTCCGCAGGAGTAAGGGGAACGACTAAGGAGGGACTGGGAGATAAGAGCCACACCACCCCTATGGCGATTAGGCCATGGGGCATGGTGAAAGGTGTAACCCGGAAGTGTGGCCTTGACTAGTGGGAAGGTGTCGCCTGGGGTGACCCAGGTTTCAGTGAGGGCGAGGATGTCAATGTTTTCCTCGACGGTGAGGTCATGGATTGTGAGGAACTTGTTTGTTAGTGAGCGGACGTTCTGCAGACTGATGCGGAGGGGACAGTTAGTGGTGGGAGTGTGGGGAAGATGAGGAGGGGGAGGGGCTGGGCAGACGGGTTGGGTGAGGATGTGGGTGAGGGAGGAAAGTTTGGCTTCCGTGGATGAGGGATGGTGGGCCTTCCGGCGAGAGTGGGGGAAGGGGCAGTCAGGGTGGGTGCTGTTGGACAGCCAACAGCGTCTACCACGGTGGGCACGACGGAGAATGTGAAGGGAGGAGCAGAAGGAAGCCGTGGGAGGGTCGAGGAGGGATAGGAGTCGGGGCAGGCGGAGGAAGAGGAGGGTTGAGTGGGAGTAGTGGAGGGAAG